AAGTAGCTGGGACTACAGGCACCTGCCACAACACCTGGCTGTTTCTTGGTTGTAGCCATCGTTGTTTGATGGGCCTGGGCTGGATTCGAACCCGCCAGCTCAGGTGTATGTGGCTCACACCTTAGCTGCTTGAGCCACAGGTACTGATCCCAAGACTATTTTACTCACTGACATATATCACTAACACCACAATATGCATGCCAAATAAAAGGTGGTGCTCACTAAGTATCTTCTGATTGAATAATTACTTCGTTAGACAAGGTCAAAAGTCATTTTTCTAAGGCAGCTTCCTTGCTTACATGATCATTTCCCTATTAATGTAAAACCCTCAGTTTCTTTTATTCATTGTATGAATAAAACCTTATCTCACAGTGTTAATATGACAACTACATAAGAAAGTAAAAAAAACCCAGGAATTGACACAGTGCCTAACATACAATGTTCAAAAAATACTAGCTGTTATATAAAAAATAAAGTCATAAAGTCCATGAAAGGCTTACCACTTGTCTTAAATGTAAAAAGACTTGTAGATAAGTGGCCCCTGAAAGAAAGAGAGGTTTTTGGGTGATATTCACACACACAACATGACTTTTCATATTAATCTCAGTTAAAGTTTTCATTTTGATTTGGATTTTTCTCCTCACTGTTTAAAGAACTAAGATTTGATGGCTAGAAATTAGACAACTGATATTGTTCCTAGATTAAACATCTCATTTCTAAGTAGGACAACTTCAGAAATGAGCATAAACAATTTTGTCCACAAGTATCTAGTTTTGTACATGATCATACAAGTGTGTCCATGTAACTTTTAACACTTATTTCTGCATCATAATTTTTTTTACTGGTTGTTTATTGTCAATCACTCACTATTTTATTTCATTAAATAAATTGATTCTCAAAAATTGTCTATGGCAACTACTTTTGGTGAAAGTACACTAACAGGTATAATTCTCAGAGAATTAAGCTCCAGCTTACAGAAGAAAAGCTGGCTATTAATAGAAAGACTGCACTTTTTTAGAGGAAAGCAACATGTCTAAGAACAACTTTTGGTATTGGAATATAACGTGACATTGGGCAGAAAGCAGAATGGGTGAGTTGATGAAGGGATGAGACAGTGGATAGTTTACCACGAGGCAGGTCAAACGATTCCAAGGAACTTGGAGAAATAAAATCATCAGTGTACACTCCTGCCATTAGCACATCAAATTAGTATGAGAGGATGCAACCTACTCAGGTTTTTTTAAGTATGAGAGAAAGAGTTCACATAGAAAAAAATTCATTCTAAGGTAGACCAGGGGAAAGAAATGGAACTCTGTATAATTATCATTAAAAGACACCAGGGATGAATGATAGTCCATTCCTAGCCTGTTTTGTATGGCCAGCGAGTTAAAAATGATTTTTACATGGTAAAGAGCTGTAATTAAAACAAAACAAAGAATTAGCAACAGAGACATGTGGCCCGGAAAGCCTAAGATATTTGCTAGCTAGATCTTTACAGAATGTTTGCTGACTCCTACTCTATACTGCCCTGAGTATAGATCATCCATCCTCTTGTCTTCTGAATGTAAATTGGCGTAGAAACTCTGAAGAAAAGCTGGCTCGATAAGGCTTAGTATTGTCCGCAGGACTGAGCATATCTAAGAGGCAAGATTTATGAAAACAGATTGCTAATGCTTCATTTATATTTAATGTTTTGGCTTCTGCTTTTGATGCCAGATCTACATTTTGTAAAACAGGGCATTATAGACACCATGAATACATATTCTTAAAATGGTCTCTTGGAATGAGAGGAAGACTCATAATAATACTTATGACAAAATGTTTTACGACAACTTATACTTTATATTCAAAGTATTGCAATTATACTCAACGCACCTTAGATTACATGGGCTATAAGGAGCAAAGTAGTTATGTCTTCTGATCTTTAAAACAGTAAGTATTTGGCAACAAACTTCTAGACTCTTACACTCTAGACTTTTTCTATTTTCTACACTTAGGAAAGAAAGAAATACAAGGTAAATCACTCTTCCAAATGACCAGCTTTTTGAAGGACAAGCTAAGGTAGTAGAACACTGCCTGTACTCTCAAAGTACTCAGATACCAAGCACTCACAGATGTGTTTACTGCCTCAATGTTATTTCATGAAGACACTGCCAGTGACAATGCTGAGATCTACGTAGTCTCTAGCCCACCCCTACCCAGCATGCTCATTATAAATAGCGTATATACATATATATATATAAAGTAGCATGGGTATACTTACACCACAGATGTGATGTTGTTAGCCAAAGAACTTTCATAGTATGGGATACCTTTACTAATAACAACACTGATTTGGCCACCCAAAATGTTTGACACTACTCCTGCATGCACACCAGCCATGCACAAAGGTGAAGACTTAAGGGAGGAAAAAGAAAAGATTAGTTTTAAATTTTCTCTCAGTAATTCATAAACAAGATAGTTCTACTTCCCCAAGCAATCAGTTGACCTGGGCAGTTTTCTCATAAACACAGATTATTGGTACTGTAATGCAATAGTTTTTTAGCAAAAAAAAAAAAAATTGAATAAATAAAACATTATATATTACTAACAAGAATTACTTTCTGAAAAACAGAAAGATAAAGATTATATTAGATATATGTCTAGCTATTCTGGAGTTCTCAAAAAAAATAAAGTTATATCACAACTTTAAAATAAGTCTATATCTAACTTACATCTCTATATCCATGAGGAATTGTTCCAGATATCTCAGCAAAAGGGAGCAGACAACCAGCTGGGCAGTACTTACTGAAAATGAAAACAAGTAAAACGTTATATAATGCTATACTTTCTGGGGGAGGAACAGCCTCCCCACCAAATCACATATACACTTTTCGGTTCAATGTAAATATCATTATCTCATCACTATGAAAGAACTACCACTTCTAAAAAGCCCTTTCAGATCTCCTCCTATCCATATATTTACATAGTATAATATGTCTTTACCTGCATATTTATGAAATTTCTCTCTCATTCTACATATTGTTTTTAGCTGTTCCAGGCTGGGCTGGGTTTGAGCCCAACAGCCTCGGGGCATGTGGCCAGTGCCCTACCCACTGAGCTATGGGGTACCGCCTACATATTGTTTTGATTGTTTTACTTTATAATAACTGGTAGAATGGTAAACACTAGTAGAAAAAACATTTCTACTATAAGACCAATTCATCATATTTAATAGCTACATTATAACCTATTTTGTGAATAAACCATAATATATTTTGTCAGCCATCTACTGATCAAATTTAAATTGCATTTTCATTCACTTATCCAATCCACTCAACACATTTCTATTATGTTGTCTATTCAGTGTTGGGCTATGCTAGGTACTCGGCTTACAAAAGTCAACCAAATATGGCTCCTGTCCTCACTGAGTTTATATACCAGTGGAGGAAGAAGACATTAAACCAATACTTACATAAAGAATTAGATTTTGAGCTATGTTAACCAGTTTGATGAAAACATTTCAAATTATATATAAAACCAGCACATTGTACCCCATGATTTCATTAATGTACATAGCTA